TCGACACTACCAGAGGCATCAAAGTCATGTCAAGAACTTATTTCCTGTGGCTGTAAGAAGGCTTGCAGAGGACTGTACAAATACTTCAAAGCAAGTCTCCTCTGTACTGCTCTCTGTACTTGTGCTGGAAACTGTCATTGCGATTAAAAGTGTGGAGAACTGCCCAAGCTAGAGGGGATTCTATTCTTTATTATTGTTTAACATGTAAAATGAACTCTTAACCTAACTTTGTGTCAGTTGTTTAAGGACTCTTTGTTATAATATTTAGAGATTTTCTATGTAATGCACATTCACAAGTTTATTCATCAGATCAATCTTCAGTATATCCAAGGTAAAGATTTATATACCAGTATTCGTGGGTGCAGTTGGTAATTAACCATTCTTGAGTAGTTGTGTATTAGATAAACCAAGTCGGACAATTCTTTTCTGTTTTATATTATAATCAACAATCTATGACTTATTAAAACGGAGTTTCACACTGACTTTTGTTGTAATTTGTTTCATGTCTGCACAAAGTTGTTTCCCAGCCCAAGGCTGAAAGTCAGCCTTCATAATAGAAACCTAGAATATATTTTTACCTTTTATATATCCTGAAAGGGGTCATTTATTGCTTAAAAATAGATTCAGTAACTGTTTAACTTAAGCAGGGTGACCTCAACATTAGGAAAAATGTGTTTTTCAGAATTTATCTACACAATATAATGAAAATGGCATATAACTCGACTCATGGACAAGATCTTGAATGGGTCTTGCTTTTATATGATTTCCCATGCAAAGCTCTATAAATGGACCAATTTCCATGCTTTCTTAACAATTTGAACAATTATTTCCCTTATCCGCTGGACTAATTACCTAATTGTTCTCAATGCACCGAGTCAAACACCTTCCTGAGGTCGATGAAGGCTGTAAGCAACCCACGACCGAACTCACGACAGTGTTCGACAATTACTAGAAGCACTAGGATACGGTTTTTTATGGACTTGCCAGGAGTGAATCCAGATTGCTCCAGTCTCGGGTACCTTAGTAGGTGGTCACAGATCCATTTGAAAAAGTATGTGGGCGAAAACCTTGCCTGGCATGCTGAGCAGTGTAATGCTATGGTAGTTGCTGCAGCCCTAATGATCCCCTTTCCCCTTCTAGAGACGGATGACCATGCCCCTCAGCAGGTCAGGGGGAATGGTACCAGACTGCCAGATGGCAGTCAAGACTACATGCAAGCCCCATTCCATAGGTTCACCCCAGCTTTTAGCAGTTCAGCAAGGATATGCCTATGGTTTTTCCACACTCCAGCTTGGAAATTGCCATCATAACCTGTTAGGGTAGGAAGTTCCTCACTGATGGGTGGGTCTGGTACAGGTATTGTGATGCCATTTACATCCAAGCTAATTGCTCAAAATACTCATGAATCCTAACATGATCTGAGATGATCTGGACATCCACTGAGTGGACTGCAATCATATGCAAGGAGGGCTTAGAGCTCAGTTTCCTCAGGGCTTGGTAGGCAGGGCGAAGGTCATTTACCAAGAAATGACCTTTAACCTCCTCAGCAACTGTTCCTTGTCCCTTCTCAGCAGTGTCCGAGCCCTATACACCAAAGAGCAATGCAAGTCCTGATAACTATTCAGCCGAGCAATGAGACACACTTTGGGAGATGGAATTTTGCCATCCTCTTAGGTGTACGCCAATGGACTCCTCTGCTGCATTGAGTGTTTTGTGCTTGAAAATCTCCCACAGTGCAACTGGGTCCGTCAAGTTTTCGATTTCTGTGGATTGATCAGAGACTGCTGCGGCGAACCCACAGGCACACTCCTCCTTCAGTATGTCCAAGTGAAACAATCAAGAGTGGCCACTGGAGGGATGAGAAGTTTTGAAGTGGACCCATAGGGAAGCCACTACCAGATTATGGTCAGTGCCACAGAACTCGGCACTCTGGTAAACCCTGCAATTCTGGAGGATCCTCCATAGAGTATGGACGAGAATGTGGTTGATCTTGGCCACAGTACACCGTATCACTATACCATGTCCAGCAATGCGGGTTGAAGCACTGATACCAGGAGCCAAAAATCCTCATTCTCTTGGAACTAGCAAAGTCCCAGAAAAGGAGGCTGTTTTCAATGCTGGGATCAGCTCATGAGCCATGGGGGCCAACAGACATCTGGTAGCAAGCTCGATCACAGCCAGATACCGCATTGAAGTCGCCCAGAACAATGTGAATGCCTCACTGTGGGCAACTGTCTGCCACGGATGTGAGTTTGGCATAGAACGCCTCTTTCACGTCGAGTTTGTAGGAATGTACACAGCAATAAGAAACATGAAGGTAAAAGCATGCTTCAGTCTTAATGCCATAATATGCTCATCTACTGGTGTTACCTCAACTACCAAGGGTTGAAGTCGGCTGGAGATGGCTATGGCTACTCCTTGGAGATGGTGACCATCGCTGTGGCCTGACCAATATCAAGTACCCACCCATACTGATCGTGCTGCTGCCAGGTCTTCTCAC